ACCCTCTCTTCTTCCTCTTCTCTCCTTTTTATTATCTTGATTCTAATTTCTTTATTCTTTTGGTTGCATGTCAGAGGAAAATAGATATGTGCTCAAACAGAATAAGACTGTTACTGAGTATTTCAGCAGCTGACGAAATAATTAGTGTTTTTTTTAAGAAATCAGCACTTTCCTAGTTGTATGACTGTATAGAACATGTTTCCTATTCATGAAATATATTTACTTTCTGAAGAATAAAACTGGATATACGATAACCAGGGTCATAAAATGTTTTTTATAGCCTAGCTTTTTACTTCTAACGATCTAGGCTCAAATCATATTATCTTAGTCTCCACGTGTTCCCCATTAAAACTAGATAAAGCTGTCAGAGTATAGTTATAGTTTGGGTGCTTCAAACAGGGAACTGATTGGCAAAGCAATTGGAATATTTTCATGGTGCTTGACCTAGACTGCTAGTCACTTTCTTCCAAGAACTTTAAAGTTGCTTACTGCTCATAAAGAGAGAGTACATAAATTAAAAGGTAGACTAGGGTTGGGTTTTTGGTTTTTTTTTTGTTCTGCTGTTGTGAGAATACTTTTGTTCTATTAAAGATTTAAACATTGTATTATCCTCTTTGTTGCAGCTTTGCCTACAAAACTCAGATTAAGCTTTCATACCACTTACTGTGCTGAGATGTCTGTGTAAGGTTTTATTTTAAAATGCAGTTCTGAAATTTAATTCTGAAGTGTAGGTACATAGAGGCCTGGACAAATCCCATTATTATTCCTTGTCAGTTGTTCAAGAATAGTAAAACTCCGATAGTCCGGCATCCAACTGTTCGGCACTCCTGATACACTGGCATCAAAATGTGGAGTGCTCCTGACCAGCTGATTAAAAAGCCTGCTGCTTAGCACAGGTGCTGGCTGTAACCAGATGGAGCATAAGGTTGGGGGGGAGTGGGATCATGTTACAATATGGAGAAGAGTGTTTTGCTGCAGGAAAGGGGGAAGGGGAGGGGAGGGGGAAGAGGATCAGGTTACAGCACAGAGGAGAGAGACTCCAAGAGGAAAGGGGTGCGGGGAGAGGGAGGGAGATTATTGTCCTGGCCAGCTGTTAAGCCGTGCAGCTGTATGGGACCTCCCGATTCTCTGGCGAATCTGATAATCCGGCACTACCTAGGTCCAAAAGGTGCTAGATTATCGGAAGTCTACTATAGTTTCTTTGGGCAGTTATCTGAATGCAACTTGAAAGAAAAGGGAACCAAGGATACAGAGATGGTCACATCCCATCTCTGTATCCTTTTTTTCTTTTCTTTGTCTATTCTTCAGTATCTGAGAGGAAGTGTTGCCGCTCAAAAAGCTTATGCTCTGATACCCTAATCAATTTCTTAGTCTTTAAAATGCTACCAGACTCCTTGTTTTTGCAGAAACAGATTAACATGGCTACCTCTCTGAAATATTAGCAGCTGTATAAATAACACTGTATTTGACATGTTACTGCATTACTATAAAATTAACTTAAATTTATCACTCAATCCTACTTAAAATAATATATAATAAAGCATATATCATAAAGGCCACGGAGGCTTAGAGTTAGTTGAGAATAGAGGTAGTCTAGTGAATCTGCAGAGTGGAAAAGCTAGAACCATACTTTGTCACATTTATGTAATATCAATAGTTCACATATAAAATACTTTATTCATAAAATATCTTTGCAAATACCATTCTAAGTAAGCATGCCATACCAATTTTGGACCTTTTTTATAATTAGAAAAGCAGCCAATATAACTTAGCAAAGTACATGAATGTCTTTCCCAATGTAAGATTTGTCTCCTATCATGTGGAAACTGGAAAAAATAAGATTTGTTGGTACGTTTTTGCCATCTTTGCAATAATGTATTCAGAGATTGGGGTTTAAGAAAAATGTTGCAACTCATGTGCTAGTATCAAAGTTTTTAAAAATTGTTAAATGAAATACAAATCTAGGAAGCATAGTTTGGCCTTCTCTTTTTCAGTAGCTACACTTGAAATGCAGTCAAAACATCCATTTTAAATTAAAATTGATTCTTAGAATATAGTGGATTAGGGTGGGCTAAGAAAACCATATTGTATTTGTGAATTTTAGAATCGGATAATTCAAATATATTATCTACTTTGGAAAAGTAGATCATTTTATTACTCCTTTGCCTCCAGTTAACAAAACTGAATTAAAGATGTGACAAAGCTCCTACTCAAAACTTCATGAGTCCTATGCTTTCAGGCAGATTGCTTGCCTCAGAGGCTCACAGCAGCCCTCAATTTAGGCATCCCATCTAGGTCATCAGATTGCTGTTGGTCGAGCTCCTTATCATTGGCCAGCATAAGGTATAGAGTCCACAGTCTCTCTGCCTCTCCCCAACTCCCCCGAGAATACATGGCTGCGTAATCCCATTTGGTCATCTGAAGAATGGGATGATACCCCATGATACCATCTTCCCTTTTTTTTTTTTTTTTAAAGTCTTTAATGTGCTATCAGACTATTTGTTGTTTTTTAAGTTTATCCTATTACATACTAACTCAGGTATACCTCTGAAACTTTCTTTTCCTCAGCCAATATTTTCCCTGGTGGAGATGGGGAAGTGGGTGTTTGGAGGAATCAGGCCCATCCTGTACTCTGGATTCTAGCCCAGGGTCCTGTAATGGCAGCTGCCTGTACAAGTCTCTAGTATCAGCTACAAGATAGTTACAAAAACCCCTCCTCTATTTCCCTAGCATCTTTCTTCTTTCTGGCTCTTTCTGCTGGAATCTACTGTTGCTTATTTCTTCTTAACTCCCAGCAGCACTCCCTCCTTCCCCTCAACTAGTTGCATGCTCTAACTGCAGGGAATCTCTTTTTATAACCAGTCTTAACTGGTTCTTTAATTGGCCCCAGGTGTTCTAATTAGCCTAAGCTCACCTGACTGCAAGCCCATTCAAATAGTTCCAGGTGCTCAGCTGCTTGATTGACTCTGATTCTGAACTAGCCCCTGCCAGTTACCGTGGGAACAGAGATTTTTCTCAGTCTGCGGCTAATATGCCTTCCTTCCGTTAGTTTTTTTTGTATCCCTCTGACCTGACCCTGTCACAAAAGCTATTGCTGAGATGAATAAATGAACCTGCAATGATTCACTTGCAAATCTGACTAATGTCTATTTAAAGAACTTGATATAAAGAGAAGGGAAGATGTGTAAGATGTGTAACTTGTGATGACATCTTTATCTAACCAATGACAGTTGGTTTTTTTTTCTTCATATGTTTTTAAACCCATTATATTTTCCTTTCATCTTCAGGAACATCATCTTACTCTCATCAAGGTTATGGCTGTGAATCAAAACTCTATAGCCTTGACCATGGCCATGAGAAACCTCAAGACAAGAAAAAGAAAAGCTCTGGTCTTGCCACCCTCAAAAAGAAATTTATTAAGCGTCGGAAATCTAGCCGGTCTGCTGATCATGCCAAGCAGATGCGAGAACTCCTCTCAGGCTGGGATGTTAGAGATGTCAATGCATTAGTAGAAGAGTATGAGGGAACTTCAGCCTTAAAGGAACTTTCTCTGCAAGCGAGTTTGGCAAGACCAGAAGCCAGAACACTACAGAAAGACATGGCTGACCTGTATGAGTACAAATACTGTACTGATGTGGACTTAATATTTCAAGAAACTTGCTTCCCTGTGCATCGTGCAATATTAGCAGCAAGATGTCCATTTTTTAAGACACTGCTTTCTTCCTCACCAGAATATGGAGCAGAGATAATAATGGATATTAACACAGCTGGCATAGACATGCCTATGTTTTCTGCTTTGTTGCACTATCTTTATACAGGAGAGTTTGGAATGGAAGATTCAAGATTCCAAAATGTTGATATCCTTGTTCAGCTTAGTGAAGAATTTGGAACACCAAATTCATTAGATGTTGATATGCGTGGGCTGTTTGATTATATGTGCTATTATGATGTGGTTCTTAGTTTTTCATCCAACTCTGAACTGGTAGAATCATTTGGTGGAAGTCCAAACTGTTTAGATGAAGAACTCCGAGCTCACAAAGCTATTATTTCATCTCGGTCACCGTTTTTTCGACACCTACTGCAAAGGAGGATACGAACTGGTGAAGAAATTACAGACCGAACGCTACGGACTCCAACTAGAATTATACTGGATGAATCTATCATACCAAAAAAATATGCTAAGGTCATTTTAAATTGTATGTATACAGATGTGGTAGACCTCTCCGTTTTGCACTGCAGCCCCTCAGTAGGGAGTCTGAGTGAAGTTCAGGCTCTTGTAGCAGGAAAACTAAACATGACTAGGGCTGAAGAAGCTATGGAGCTCTATCATATAGCACTGTTCTTGGAGTTTAACATGCTTGCACAAGGTATGTAATATTGTGTTTATTTTAGCTCCTCAAATTGAATATAAGGTTAAACTGCTTCTTCCTTTAAGTTTTTGAAAATATTTTCTCTGTCACACTTGGATTTTATTATACCATTAGATACTAACTCTCGTTTAGCTCGTTTCATCAGTAAATTTCAAAGCTGTTTACAAATAAGTATCAGTTTTCTTATTTTACATATGTAGAAACCAAAGCACAAAAACTTGAGTGGCTTGCCCAAATGTCACCCAGCTGTGGCAGAGCTGAGACCAAAACCCCTGTTTCCCAAGTCCTGGCCAGTGCTCTAACACACTGTCTTACATAACATAGCCACCTGTTTTATCTATGAATATAAGTTCTAATCTACTTCTGAATCAAAGTGCATTAATATGAGTAGATATTTGAGAAATGCTATATTCAAAATGACACTCGAGATACAGTAGAGGGCACTGTTTTTCAAGTAGGACACCCAAAAAGCCATGCACCTGCAATCTTTTTGAATTCAAGAGAGAAGAACATGGTCCTGTGGATTGAAAACTTGAGGTGCCTTGGTACTGATCTGCTGGGTGATCTTGGGCAAATGGCATCCTCTTTGTGTCTGTTCATCTGTAAATTTAGGATAATTTCATTTATTCCTTTTATAAAATATTTTAAACTCAGTGGGTTGAAAAGTATGCTAAAAGGAGCCTTAATATTATTTTTTAAGTTACTATTTGCATGGACTTATTTGTTTTAATGAAATACACTTTAGCATGTTTGAAAAAGAATGAAGGAAGGTGTCAATTTTTTGGTTGCATGCGAGAGGGGGAAACTGATAAGCCCGCCCCCCCCTTTTTTTTAAGATTCATCTTGAGACAAAAGAAATACTCTGGCATTCTATAATGGAATATAAGTCTTTAAGGTGTATAAACATAAACAGTTGGCTATGTAAATTATGAAAAATAGATGACATGACTCTGTGGGATTACTGTGACATTACTGGGGATGTTCTGAGCAATAGAAGCCTTTTAAATTGGCAAAGGATATTTAAACAATTGAAAATATTTGAAAAATTTTCAATTAAAAAATAAAAAATTGAAGGAGGAAAGTTGATGGCTAGTGCCTCTCAAAGTTAGATTGATATATCATTGAATACAAAATAATAATTAAATACACCAAAATGTATGGAAACATAAATTTTGGATATTATGGATGACTGACTAAAACCACTTTTCATTTGTATGTTCACTCTAATCTTTTCCATACATGTACAGAATAAATTTTATGTGCACTGAGGCATGTGTGAATATGCACCACCAGAAGAAACAAAAAATCTAGCTCTGAGTGCTCTGCCAATCAGCTGGATGTCATTTAAATCTCTTCTGAGTGCTACACAAACACAGAGCGTACAGGGAATCCTGGTTTTAGCAGCATAAATATTTCTAGTTTAGAAAAATACATTGATGAATAGGACAGTTCCTAGCAAATGGAGTTTTAGATGGGGAGTAATCAATTTATGCACAATTAGGCTATTTTTATATTTTTCTCTAGGGAAGATAATTATTCAAACCTGAGTCAGGGCAGAGCTGTCTTGCTAAGTCTACAGACAGCTTCAGTGTGCCTGAAGACTCTAGGGAGGTTAGGAGTTGGTCCTTGTCTGTCGTTTGTTTGAAGTTAATGTTCTGTCATGTCATGCATTCTGGGACTTATCTGATACTGGTTGCTGTCAGAGGCAGGATTCTTGACTACTGGACCATTTGTCTGATCTAGTATTGTAATTTGTATGCTTTACCTGAGATCTTTATAATGATGCAATGAATTTGAATACATGATACAGTATATGGCAGGTCAGGCATTTAGGTAGCTTGGCTCTACGGAAGAATCACAGCATGTAACAATCTCTGTCTGAGAGAGAACATATCTCTGTCCTTTCAGGTGATGGTTGCTTGGAACTTTTCTCTCCTTTTTCCTGGAGGCTGTTTTCTATCCAGCCTGACCCCAGAGAGGCGTTGTGTTTGGTATAACCGAGGGCATAATTTGTATTGTGGCATCTTTATTACTGACAATGATTCATAAAGTAGAAAACAGCATGACAGTCAGATATGTTTGTCTTCAGTATTCACAGCTGTAGGAAGAAAAGTGATTTCAATTGCAAATTGGTAGATTTGTCATGGAATGTATTGAGGAACTATTTACATACCATTATGCCATTTTTAAACAGCCACTTTTAAAGTGCATGTCTACTTTGAAATATTCCTAACTGTAACAAGAATCTTGTCTAAAACTTACAGAATAGGTTATTTAACATACACGGAAAGAATCCTTCTACTCTGCAGTCTGGATACTGAAGAACAGATGATATTGGAGGAAGATCATGTTTTATATGGCCTACTAGAAGAGTTACGTTAAAACTATGGAAGACAGAAATGTGGGATGTTGACTTGAAGTAGTTATAGTCCTTAAGGGAAGGAGGCTATATCAGGAAAACTTTTTGCAAATAATGGTCTTGAAGGCTGTGAAGCAGTCCTTGATGCTGACATGAGAACTACTGAAAGATGCAGGGTGCATAATTCTTGAAGAATTCTGCTGCAGTGTTTTCTTTCCTGTAGTTTTCTTGGAAAAGTTTCTGAACTGTGAAATGTAAAATGAACAGGACTGTAATGAACCATTTTTCTGGAACTTCTTCAGTGGAGGAATATGAAATGTGTGTTTGGCACTAAGAAATTACAGTGCTTCTACTTTAAGTATACAGAAAACCTTCTGTATTATTTCATCGCTTGCCATTTTAGCAATTACAGATAAATATAGTCCATTGCTCTTGTACAACAATTTGGTCAAGACCCAAATGACAATGTCTGTGATAAGAAGGAAGGTACCAAAGCAATATATGTACAGTGACCATATGTCCTGGATTTTCTGGGACTGTCCCAGTGTCCCCATTAAGTAGTGAAATGTCCCGGAAAGCCCCACCAGGCACTTCACTTCTTGATGCAGACACCACCTTGTGGGGAAGATGCAACTGAGAGATGGCTCCGTGCGCTGCCATTTTCCCTGTAGTGTGGCACAGCAACAACAGCCATCTATCCCCTCCCACTGCCTGCAGGGCACATAAGCAGCTCTATTGGAGCTTTGCCCGTGGGCAGCAGGACCAGTTTCTGATGGCATGCAGTTCCAGGCCACCCACTGCCCCACCACTGCATGCTGTGCTGCCTCCTTTTTTCCCCCAGTGGGATTGCCTCTGACACATGAGGCCTCTAGTCTGGGCACGCTGCCACCTCCTTCTCCAGGCTGCTTGTTGGTACAGCAGCCGCTGCAGTGGTGGGAGAGACGGGCAGGTCCAAGGCAAAACTCAGTGAAGCTGCTTCCAGACCTCTATGCCTTGGAGCTGCTGCCTCAGGACTGGCAGGGATCACGCAGAACCCAGCTAGGGTACTGCGGAGCAGGGTGTGCTCAGGCTTAACAGGTACTCTCCAAGTACTGCTGCTCTCTCCCTGCCCCTCCCTACCCTGCTGGCAGAATGGCTGCAAAGGGGGAGAGGACTACAAAGGAAGGTTCCAAGTCATGAGGAATTTTAGTGCCACTGTCACTGGAGAATAGTGATAGAAATGTAGCTGTGTTAGTCTCCTGTAGCTGAAACAAAATACAGGACTAACAAGATGGTTTATTAGCTGATGAGCTTTCGTGGGCCAGACCCACTTCCTCAGTTCAAATAGTGGAAGAAAATAGTCACAACCATATATACCAAAATAGTCACAACCATATATACCAAAATAGTCACAACCATATATACCAAAATAGTCACAACCATATATACCAAAATAGTCACAACCATATATACCAAAATAGTCACAACCATATATACCAAAATAGTCACAACCATATATACCAAAGGATACAATTTTAAAAAATGAACGCATATGAAAAGGACAAATCAAATATTTTATGGTTGTGGTTTGGTATATATGGTTGTGACTATTTTCTTCCACTATTTGATCTGAGAAAGTGGGTCTGGCCCACGAAAGCTCATCATCTAATAAACCATCTTGTTAGTCTTTAAAGTGCTACATAGTCCTGTATTTTGTTTCACTGTCACTGGAGGTCTTGTTGGATTTCAAAACTTTGATGGTAAAATTTGCTGGTCCGTGATTGTGTACATGGTGTCCCCGCTATAAGTCGCCCTAGTATGCATTCGTTCTGCACTAAAGTCATTGATGCTTGTAGGAACTGATGGTGTTGTAAGTCCTCCTATTTCCCGCTCTTAAGTTGCACCAAAAAAACCCACTATTTTGCACAAATGGAAGTCAACTGCGGGGAAAAAAATTACCCGTGCTAAGTTGTTTCGCTAGAAGTCCAAGTTTTTTGGAATATATAGCAAGGATGTATTGCTGTTTTATATTGCTTTTGAATTGGTTAACTTGAGAAATACCATCAATAAAAACACATTTTAAGGAAATGAAACAGCAGATTTTAGTTCATAAAGTGACAAAATATACAATTGACTAATCAAACACTAGGTATTAGTTTATTTCAATTTGTAAGTAGTAAGAAATGATACTAACTAAATACTGAAGTATTTGGTATGAGTTCAAAGCAAGTATTAAAGACTGGAGGCGACATTAAAAATTATAAACTGAGTAGAGCCACTCCAGCAGTTTTTAATATACATAAACATTACATAACTGGCAAAACAGTTGGTTCCTCCAAAGCTCTTGGAACCCCTCCCAGATTGGTATCAGTCACAGACTTAATGGCATAGAGCGTATGATTATGATCTAAATCAGTACTTCTCAAAGTGAGCCACAGTTCTCCTTGGCTGGAAATAGTGAACTGCAGCTCGTGGGAGCAGTGAGGCTCTGTGGCTGTGGATCCTTTAGGTCAGGGGTGGAAAACCTTTTTTGGAGGCCACTTACCCACAGAAAAATCAGTCAGGGAGCTGCACCCAAGTGAGGAGCAAAACCACCCCTCACGAGCGAGGCTCCCTAGTGCTGGGGAGAGCCTCAGGTGCTGGATCCAGGGAAGCCAGG